GCACGGTACTAGGTGTGTAACGTGTTCCTCCGCATCTACAAGATCCTCGTGGAAAATGAGTTGATTTTCGGCGTAGACCCCTTCTACGCGTACTTCCGTGCTGTAGCAATCAGGCTGGTCCCATCCTTCATTGTTTGCTGCAGAAACACAATCCTCTGGAGTATTGTGCCACGTCTGTCCAGATTTTAACAAACTCCAATCCTTTACCCCGAGACCCGACTTGGCAGGCGAACAACCATACACATGATAACGGCCGCGCTTGAACGATCTTGTAACTCGAGACACGCCTGTTAGGTCGGAAAAGGTTTTTTCGGGTATCACCAATTGTCTACCATTTTTTCTCTCCAGAACCATTTGGCGGGCGGTTCCCAGTTCACAGCTTAACTCACTGTTGATGGCAAATTTGGTAGGTTTTGTACAGGATAAATATCTTTTGAAACGATCAACAACCCGACTCCATTCTTTTAATGTCATCTTAAAAACCATTTTACGCTTCAACCCTAAATAACCAGCCTTCAGTAATATTTCAGGGGTTGTATTATCATTGTCCCCTAAACTCAATGTCAAACCGACTGAAACATCTGATATCTTGGGTGAAGCCATGTTGTTTCGTATGATAACTCAATAGTTAGGCATCTATTTATATATATATATACAACTCGTTATATTATTGGTTCGCACAGACCGCCCAATAAAAAATACGTTGGACAGAAATTATACACAAGTCTCCGCCTTTGCTAAGCCTACTACACCTAGGGGTGGTTCCTCACCCGTAAAATTATTTTCACACAACTCTTTGAAGCTAACTTTCAATGCCTCCCATTGTTTCACGTTTAAATGAACACCCTTTCGGGTAGGTTTTGGCATTCGTTCCTCTTCACACCACCAAAATTTACGAATGTTGACTCCAGGGTATTTGTTGTCGATCGTTACGTACACGTCATTACCAATAGGCACTGATTTCTTTACAATGTTTTTTTGTAAATACTCATCTATCTCTGAGGCAGTGTTCATCAATGCCTGCCATTGCCGCTCGAAAAACATGATACCATTGGGTGTTGGATATCTATCACTCTTAAAACCGTAACCATACAGTCTGATGTGATAACACACATCTTCTTGCCAAATACATTTTACAACCAAATAATCATTTCCAATATCCTTTCGATACAACTCGATACTCATGATGTTAATCTCTTGTTTTCAACTTCATAAAACAATTCTACATTTGAACGTGTAATCAACCCCCCTTTTATACCTAGATTTTCGAAACTTAAAACCAAAATTTAACTACACCCTGTCACAAATATGTAGATTAAAACTATTGGCTTAGAACAAAATCGACAAAATCACCTGTCAAGCTTAATGGCGGAGGTCATTGTCCCTTAATACAGGTATAGCTACACTTGGCGTGAACTCAATGTAACCTCTACACACCTGCCTATAAAGCGAAATATCTTCCCCCCCCCCTACCCTCCAATAAACAATTCGTGGACCCCATACCCTCGTTACAAAAGTCAAACACGATCAAAGAATATAACACCTGCATACCTTTTTTATTATTCATAACCTCATTGTTCAGTCAACAATAACCATATTCAACCTATAAATAGAACACCTGTGGAATGCTCTGACGTCAGACCTTAGGAATGTGTGACGTCAGACCTTTGGAATGTCTGGAATTCCAAAATTGCTCCAGACTACCCTCTCTACTACTTACGGATTCAATATGTAATAATATTTCTCATGTTTAATCAATTTTTAACATATTATTTTCCAGTTGTATCAAACATCATTGATACCATTTTATTGATTCTGGAATTATTTGTAAAACTAAATAAGAGACGTGGGGGTGGGGGTGGGGGGTATGAGGCTTTTAGAGTGTGTTCGTAGTTGAAGATATTACTGGGCCTATTTTTACTCATCTAGGCCCCAATCCCATCAGTGATGTCAAACGGATGCAAGCCTATATGCGATAAGGTCAATAACGGCTGCGAATCGTTTTCTTCACCTCATAAAAAAACTCCTGCATCTATTTGGGTGACGTGGGGGGGGGGGGGGGTATGAGGCTTTTAGAGTGTGTTCATAGTTGAAGATATTACTGGGCCTATTTTTACTCATCTAGGCCTCAATCCCATTAGTTATGTCAAATGGGAGAGAGAGAGAGAGAGAGAGAGAGAGAGAGAGAGAGAGAGGGAGGGGGTTTAACGTCCACTCGACACAAATTAGGTCATTTCGGGACTAACATATGGTTTAATTTTATTTCAATAAATCGTTTGCGCGTAGGGGTCTTTAGCAGTAGGAGGAAACCAGAGGACCCGGAGAAAACCCACGAGGTTTGACAGGCGACCCTACACCTTGTCACGTACAACCGGGGATTCAAAACTACGCCAGTTGACTCAATGACAGGCTGCGAATCGTTTTCTCCACCTCATTCAAAAAAACTCCTGCAACTATTGGGGTGACGTGCTGCACTATGATAATGCTGTGATTTTAAAGAATGTGACCCGATTTGGTTTTTTTACAATCCCCTTCCCACCCTGTCTTCTGAAATCATTTTTAACCTATCGCTCCAGTCATCTATAAATATTGGTGGGTGTCGTACACATGGCAATGAATGCTTACTTGTTCGATACCTCCCGACACCACTTTTTCTTCAAGGAATTAACTTAGCTAACTCACTTTGGTCCTGCTATTGTAATTCTAGATTTTTTAAATATAATACCAAATATAATTCACTTGTGGACACAAAATTTTTCATTATTTTGAGAAAACAAATAATTAATCAACGTTTTCCTACTATCTCTTTTATATTTATCAAATCTACTACTTAGGCCTATATATGATGTAATGAGTACAGCTGTATTTTTGTGACTTGTAGAAATAGACTAGGACAATAAGTCGACATCTCGACGTTACGATAAAAATAACACGATGATACGACAGAATAAAGTGTCGTATGATTGCGTCAATACTGTCGTGATGTCGTGTTGTCGCGTTATGAAAAGGGCGAGATTTAACATGGCCACTATCAGCCACCATAATCGAGACAGCCCAGTGTGAAGAGTGTCTTGATACTAGAGGCTAAGTAGTAAATAAGTAAAATGGGGTAGTCGGGTGAATCTTTACTGTCATCGAAAATAAAAGATATGTAAAATGAGAAGTTATTGATCCAATCCACTGAAATCTGGTGTGCGATCGCCATTCGCCACCCATGATATCCCTAAATACAAATCTCTATATACAGCGATGGGGCGTGGCAGAGCAAATGTCTGAACAGTCAAGAGCTGGCCTATTCACTATCTTTTTATTGTAGACCATACACACGTAACTGCATGACAGAAGCTGGGTTAACGTATATGTCAATTTAATTATTATTATATAGTCTACCTACCTTGTCAATTATGCTAAATGTCGCTGACAATTACTACGTGTATCTCTATAAGAAATCAATCTGAGGCTTAAAATAGATTTCTAGGAAAACTACACTGTTTACTGCTATCTTTATTGATGTGACATAGGTCACACACGAACATTTAGCGCTTGATGTACAAGTTGATAAACTTTATGAAGAATTAGGACGTTCAACACTTTCTGAGATAAAAATGACGGAAAAAGACGCGGGTAGTGGATAATTCAAGAATTTAATTAGGATTCGATATTTGTAATAAATAGTAAGCGATTAAAGACAACATCGTCTTATGTATACAATGAATTCTCCTCTGACTTCCAAGAGAGGTAAGTTACGTAAAGTAAATATGACCTGGTTTGATCGAACTTCCCAATTACAATGTTTGAGAAGGATTTGAAGCAAAATTATGACAAACTAATTAGTTCATATATACCATTAAATCACCCAGTTTATACTGTAGCACTATCGTCGTTGCGACATTGTTTTTAAATTTATAGACAAGGAATAGAGAAATAAAGATGGCTTTATATTTCATTAGTTAATATCTTTGGCAAGTTGGTAGGTTCCCACATATGTAGAATTGTACTAAATCAACTTAGTCTGCAATTGACAGTTGACTATAAAAAAGAGCTCTTTAACCAAAACGTGTCAATAATTTACCACCAGAATTACACGTGAGTGGAATTATTCTAATTGCATCATTTGATTTAAAGTAACCAACCATTTTGTTAATTACACAAGTTCAGGGCCATGATCACGCTTTATTGTGCATGATATTCATATACCTTTAAAAGAAACCGGGGAACCCTGTAAGTCAGGCTTCTATTAGGTTCCAGGGAGCTTACATCTGAGTTCCTAGACAGCCGCGAGGCTGGCTAGGGTAGAGAAATGGTTTTAGCTAGTATTGTTATCTATTATGCTTGTATACCTGTATTCAGCTATATATATATATATATAAAATATGTAGAAGCAAACTGTCGCATTGTTATTCCTGGTAAGACAGACGTCTTAAGAAACTGTAAGAAGTAAATACACCACGTGAAGCAGAAGTAAAGACAGCTAGAGACAAATTCTAGACGATCACAAGGCTACAGAAATATGTAGTAAGAAAAGATGCATGGGTCGTATGTAAGATGTGGCGACCGGTTTTTTAGTACGTGTCCGCTCTCCACGTCAGACAGAAAGACCTATGGTGCTACAATACGCGGGAATGTATCTTTAATATTTTTCTCCCCTTTTCGTTTATTGTTTGGTTGACTTTTTGGTCTAGAATTGGAGAAAAGGGATCAAATTTGCAATTTCATAGAACTTTTGGGTAATACTGATGATATTACAGCTGAGGGATAGGGGGTGTAAAGTGTCTATCTACAGAGAAATCATTATGTCGGAAGTGAGATTTTGATCGCAGTCAACATCAAATCCTCGTAGCAAAAAATCTAAACTATGAACTCCCTACGAAAGTATGATGAGGGGATTGCCGAATATGGTCCTAATTGTGCTTATAAAGATTAGAACCAGCGGAATGTTCTTCGAGTTCCTTGAAACGCATATTAATGGTAAAATGTTTATTTTATCTTAAATATTGGATATAAGAATCCCAATTTTCCCAGTAAGATCACAACATCAATATTGATTTAATTTGACAAATAATTCGTATTTTCAATGTTGAAGATTTTGCATGATATTGAGTTAGAGACTTGGCTACTTTAAAGAAGCAGTCGATCGTATGTATCCGCTTTTCGATGTCTATTTCGGGTACATTTTGTTTTGAGACGTGGATCCATTGATTGCGGACAAAATGAAATGAAATGGGGTTTAACGTCCTACTGTTCTGCTCCTAACCTGGGCTAATGAAGACAGGCATACGCCATACAGTGTGCTATGAGGGAAGTTTTGCCCGGGCAGCGGTGCTACGGCCTACTCTTATATCAAATTCCAACAGCCAAAGGATCTTTTACGTGCACGCCAATGTGTACACAGTACCTCGTTTTTTTGTCCCATCCGAACGACTAGACAGCTGTCCTTGTCAGGCCCTGCACCACTGACAAGCGGGTACCATGCCGTAAAATCTGGATGAACATTCTCGGCCAATGCAGGGAGTGAACACCCGACCTCCAGGCTAGCGCGCCAGTATCTTACCCACTTAGAAAATTCAGTAACAACAATTCATCTTTATTTAATTTATCTAATTTTTAATTCATTAATGCCATTATATTCTCATTTTTATTTAAAACTGTATTTTATTCAATAACAATAGGATTGGGGAACAGGCTGGGCCTATATCACCCCTCCATCTTCAACAAAACAATATAAATACAGATAGAGAGAGAGAGAGAGAGAGAGAGAGAGATGGGGTTTAACTCCACTCAACACAACCTACTAGGTCATTGGAATTCAATATAAGAGTAGGTCATATTGCCGGTGTCTAGGCAAAATTTCCCTCATAGCACACTGTATGGTGTATGCCCGTCTTCATTAGCCCAGTCAGAGCAGAACACTAGGACGTTAAACCCCATTTCATTTCAAACAAGCCAACAGTGAGGCTGATGTCCCCCACCGAAATTGCAAAATAAATAGATGACACATATTAATTAATCGCACATTTATTTTTTTCACTAAGTTTCATCACTCTCTATCAGATAGAATCAAGATTATCTTGTCCCAAACCATCGACAAATGAAATCGATTAGCTCTGCTTAGCTTCAGCTCGAAATGTTAATCATTGAACTCAGTCAAGACATTCACCTAATGAACATCTACATATACATCAAGTTTAAACATTCACCTAATAGACACCTATGCCAAGTTTGAACATTCTACCTCAATAAGAAGGAGAGTTATTGTGTTCCAAAGTTTCTACCAATCAAATTGCTTATCACTCTGCTTACCCTCAGCAAAAAATGTTCATTATCGAACTTAGTTAAGGTATTCATATAATAAATCTATACACCAAGTTTCATCAATCTCACTTAATTAGAACTAAAGTTATCGTGTCCCAAAGCATCAACCAATCAAATTGCTTATCTCTGCTTACCCTAAGCGGAAAATGCTCATCTTCGAACTCCATCAAGGCATTGACCTAATCAACACATACACCAAGTTTGAACATTATAGCTCAATTAGGAAGAGAGTTATCGTGCCCCAAAGTATCAACCAATCAAATTGCTTATCTCTGCTTACCCTAAGCGGAAAATGCTCATCTTCGAACTCCATCAAGGCATTGACCTAATAAACACATACACCAAGTTTGAACATTCTAGCTCAATTAAAAGTTATCGTGTCCCAAAGCATCAACCAATCAAATTGCTTATCTCTGCTTACCCTAAGCGGAAAATGCTCATCTTCGAACTCCATCAAGGCATTGACCTAATCAACACATACACCAAGTTTGAACATTCTAGCCCAATTAGGAAGAGAGTTATCGTGTCCCAAAGCATCAACCAATCAAATTGCTTATCTCTGCTTACCCTAAGCGGAAAATGCTCATCTTCGAACTCCATCAAGGCATTGACCTAATAAACACATACACCAAGTTTGAACATTCTAGCTCAATTAGGAAGAGAGTTATTGTGTCCCAAAAAGTGTGACGGACAGACAGACGGACAGACAGACGGACAGACAGACAGACAGACGGACGAACCCATTTTAATAGTCCCCTGCTTTCTTCGAAAGGCGGGGGACAATAAAAAGGTTATTCAATAAGGCCTTGATGTATCATTTCACTACATATAAACTGTACCATTTAGGCTTTGACACCCAGTTTTAAACTGGCTATTACTTTATGACACTTCAACTGGGAGCTCAAGTCTACAATAAAGTTGTTGACATTGGAATCACGAACTGATTTTTTCGTATCAAACAAAATGGCTATGGATATTCTCTGTTCTAGTCGACTGATGTAAAATGTTCTTTGATTTGGCTAAAAATAGAAATTAAATAGACTTATACACACATACAAGTCGCAGTGACTCAGGGAGTAAGATGTTGGCTTGTTAACCTGGACGTCTTTTGTTCGATCCCTGCCTTGGCCGAGAATGTTTATCAAGACTTTCTGGTGTGGTTCTGATCTGATAGAATGATAAACCGAGGTTTTGTGTACACATTGCCGTGCACGTTAAAGAACCCTTGGCAGTTGGAATTCAGAAATAAGAGTTGGATGAAGTGCCGTTGCACGGGCAATCTTTCCCTCATAGCACACTGTATGGCTTCTGCCCGTCTTATGCAGAGCAGTAGGTTGTTAAACCCCATTTGTTATAACATACAAGGTGAAAAATTAAATAAATCAAAGGATAAGACTTCAATGACCTTATCACAGACAATTATGTCCATTGCTAGCTAGCTATATCTATAAACTATAACTCATCGTTTAAACATTGTTATGTCCATTGCTAGCTATATATGTAAACTATAAACATGTCCATTGCTAGCTATATCTGTAAACTATTAACATGTCCATTGCTAGCTATATCTGTAAACTATAAACATGTCCATTGCTAGCTATATCTGTAAACTATAAACTCACCCTTTTACACATTGTTATGCCCTTTACTAGCTGTAACTATAACCTCACTCTATCATAGAATTTTTAACTCACCTTATTGACTATTTTAGCTCTACGAGACTATCTATCTATTAACTCACCTTATTGACTATTTTAACTCTACGAGACTATCTATCTATTAACTCACCTTATCATAAAATGTTTTAACTCTATCCTGTCCATTACTTGCTGCCTCTGTCATATCACGATCATTAACCATCATTAATATGCAAGCCTGTATATTCTCGGCTGGTTTCTCCTAAAACATATTTCAATCCAATGGGTCAATTGACGAACGAATGTTACATAATATTTAAAAGGATAGTCTACTACCTGTACTGATACCTGTACTGATTATTCTCAACAAAATTACAATACATTGTAGTAAGTTGTTGAATCAAATGAAATTGAAGGTAATATTGTACAGCAGGGAGAGAGAGAGAGAGAGAGCGAGAGAGAGAAACACAGAGAGAGGGTGGGGTTTTAGTCCACTCACATAAACTAGGTATTTAGCAGTGGGAGGAAACTGGAGAAACCGGGTTTTCAAACCCACAAGGTTGGACAGGCGACCCACTCCTTGTCAGGTACAATCAGGGATTGAAACCACACAAGTTGACTCAATGACAGACAAAGTATAAACGGGTATGTATCTTTGCCCTGTGTGCTATATTTACACTAGGTAAATACAGTATAAAAGGGTATCTTTACCTTTATACATACACCAGGTAAAATGTAAAGGTAAGTATCTTTGTCCTGTGTGTTATACTTACACCAGGTAAATAGTAAATGTATGTACAGTGTATCTTTGTCCTGTGTGCTATACTTACACTAGGTAAACACAGTATAAACGGATAGGTGTCTTTCCCTTTCGGTCTCTCCACATATTTAAGTGGATGATGATATCCCGGACCTTTATATATATCCGTCTGTCCGTTCGTGTCCAGAATCAGATAAATATTGGTAGCATCATACTTCTTCTGAAACGCTATTAATCTGAAAGCACACACACACAAAAAGGGGTCTGAAAGTATACACACAAAAATGAAATGAAATGGGGTTTAACGCCCTACTGTTCTGCTCCTATACTGGGCAAATGTAGACGGGCATACGCCATACAGTGTGCTATGAGGGAAATTTTGCCCGGGCAGCGGCACTATCGCCTACTCTTCTATCAAATTCGAACTGCCAAATGGTCTTGTATGTGCATGCCAATGTACACACGGGTCCTCAGTTTTTCATCCCCTCGGAAAGACTAGAAGCTGTTTTTGTCAGGCCCTTCGTTCTGCACCATTGTCGGTGATAAAACATATGGCTGTTACACTTCGTGTAATGGTGACCAACACTGTAAACTGGGTATCATTTAATCTTGTATATTTAGCATTAATTTCTTTCACATTTATTCAATATCAGGCCAATACAAAAGATGTCTAGCAGGGTAGTGCAACAAAAGATCTCTAGCAGGGTGCTACAAAAGATGTCTAGCAGGGTAGTGCTACAAAAGATGTCTATACAAAAGATGTCTAGCAGGGTAGTGCTACAAAAGCTAAAACAATTAACAACTAACCTCCCCACGAAATCTTCTGTAGTTTTTGCTGTCAGGTTTTTTATATCTCCTGGTGTCTGTTTCGATAACATTTCATAGAAATACAAACTGAACTGTAATACAAAATATATACATAAACTAGGTCATAGAAATACAACAGCAATAAAAAATATATACATAAACTAGGTCATATTGTAAAACAAAATATATACATAAACTAGGTCATAGAAATACAAACTGAACTGTAATACAGAATATATACACAAACTAGGTCATAAAATTATAACTGTAATACAAAATATACGCATAAACTAGGTCATAGATATACAACTGTAATACAAAATATATACATAAATTAGGTCATAGAAATACAACTGTAATACAAAATATATACACAAATTAGGTCATAGAAATACAACTGAAATACAAAATATATACAAATGAACTGAAATGGGGTTTAACGTCCTACTGTTCTGCTCCTATACTGGGCTAATGAAGACATACGCCATACAGTGTGCTATGAGGGAAATTTTGCCCAGACAGCGGCACTATGGCCTACTCTTATATCGAATTCCAACTGTCAAGGGATCTTTTACGTGCACACCAATGTGTACACAGGACCGAACGACTAGACAGCTGTCCTTGTCAGGCCCTCCGTCCTGCATCACTGACAAGGGGGAACCATGCCGGACAATAAATATATACAAACTAGGCCCAAAGTTCACAAGGTATCCTCAGACTAAAAGGGTGTATTGCTCTATTTTTTGGAACTTTGAAATAAGACAAAAATAGTTCTAAAAGCACGTATTAATGTAATCTGAATGTATATAAAGTGATTTATATTCAATTATGTTCAGTAAAATATGTGAACAGTTCAAATTGAATGGCAGTCATTTACGCCTGCTTAGTGCATTCTACAAGTTTTTAAATTCATTATTTTGTCGTTTGTGAATCAGCTTTTACTAATGACTTCCACACTGATTTTATTTGTTCATTACAAAATGGCACCCGAAAACATATGGTACACGACTCTTGTACTGATCATAAAATGTTAATTGTGTCTTAAATATTTGATAATAGGATCCTCTAGTTTCACCGCAAGATAACAAACATCAATATTGATTGAAATTGATCAATATTGAATTCTAATTCGTGTTTTAAATTTCAAATATTATGGAAAATATTGGGTTAGAGACTAATCTCCTTTAAGTTAAGAATTTAATCAAAATTATTCGCCTTATTTTAACTAAAATATTCTGTCTTACTCACTTAGCCACCATGGCACCCTTTATCAGTCTATAGCAGTGGGAGGAAACTCGGGACCCGCAAAAAAGCCACCAGTTTCGACAGGCAACACTATTTATTTATCTGATGGATTAAAGAATTTGACTCAATGACAGACCTTCATTCCAAAGTGCATACGTTAAAACCACTTGATCACCCATCCATTCAGAAAAGAAAATAATCAAAAAGGGAGATAGAGTGTTTTGATTTCACTCAACACAAACTAGGTCATTTCTGGACTATCATATGGTTCAATATTATTTTCATAATTCGTTTGCGGATAGGGGTCGTTAGCAGTGGCAGGAAACCGGAGGACCCAGAGATAAAAAAAACAAGAGTGGACATACAACCAGAAAATCTAAACCACGCCACTTGACTCAATGACCGACCTTATGATCTAAAGCGCATGCGTTAAATCACCAGACCCTCCACCCCCTCTAAAGATAGGTTGCCAGGCAACGAAACATACGCCCACAGCAGCTAAATTGTCCGGGCAGTCTTGAGAGTTGTCACATATTTTTACTTTTTTCGGTAATGAAACACTTATAATACATTAAAATCTGATTAAGAGTAACAACTCATTAAGTAATTACAGAAAACCATTAGAATTTGTTTGGTTTTTATAAAGTTTTGCCCCATGCTAACGTTTAGTATACGAAACTTTTAACATCATGGATTTAGCTGTTCAAGTCATAAAAATTCATTGAAAATCAATATACTTGTTTGTCTCAAAACCTTAAACTCTGTGTATCAATCTGAAGTAAATCGGATGATGATAACTTTAGCTTCTAGAGCAGTGGTTCTCAACCTTTATTTGCCAATGGCACACCTTGGAACATATGAAAAAATAGTGGCACACCTGGCTAAATATATATGAAAAATATTTGAATTTTGCAAAATAAAAACATGAGAAGTCATAGACGACATACAACCATAGACATGGACTAGTCATGGACACATAGAGTGACTCAAACTAAATATGAAGTTACCAGTAGACACCAGTGAATATTCAATTGGGATCACATGGTTTTTAATGTACCGTTCAAAATTTTGCGGCACACTTAGGAAGATCTCGTGGCTCACCTGAGTGCCCCGGTACACTGGTTGAGAATCACTGTTCTAGAGGGTCACAAGATTTTTCGAAGTGATCAAGGGCCATAAATTTGGCAGTAATTATCGAAAATCGTTGAAAATCAAAATGATTCTTCGTCTCATGACCTCAAACACTGTGTATCAATTTAAAGTCAATCGGATATTATCTTTAGCCTATAGAGCATTTACAAGATATTTTGAAGTGATCAAGGGCCATAACTCTGGCAGTAATTATCGAAAATCGCTGAAAATGAATAGACTTCTTCGTCTCATGACCTTAAACACTGTGTATAAATTTAAAGTTAATGGGATATTAACTTTAGCCTCTAGAGTGTCCACAAGACTTTTCCAAGTAATCAAGGGCCATAACTCTGGCAGTAATTATTGGAAATCGCTGAAAATCAATAGGCTTCTTCGTCTTATGACCTTAAACACTGTATAAATTTAAAGTCAATCGGATATTAACTTTGACCTCTAGCACGTTCACAAGATTTTTTGAAGTGATCAAGGGCCATAACTCTGGCAGTAATTATCGGAAATCGCTGAAAATCAATAGGCTTCTTCGTCTCATGACCTTAAACACTGTGTATAAATTTAAAGTCAATCGGATATTAACTTTAGCCTCTAGAGCATCCACAAGCAATTGTGGACACCGGACCGATGGAGGCAACGACAATATACAACCACATTTCAATGTGAGCATATAAAAATATAGTATAATGTCAATAAAAAAATGAGTATTTAAAACAATAAATTACACTATTTACCTTGGATACGAGAAGACCGTGAAATTTTTGTAACCACTGAAATAATGCTGGTATTGAATGACCACTACCTTTACTACTTTTCTTGCTCTATAAAAATAAATAAGATAAAGAAAATAAAACTCTAGCAAACAGACTCCAGTTTCACCAAACATTCTCAGACTTAAGTTAAGAAGTGAAAGCAGCCACAGTCGCTAAGACGATGGATATTGGTAGCATCCTACTTCTTCTGAAAGGATATTAATCTGAAAGTACACAAACACACACACAAACTAAAATATGAGTTTGGCTTTGTTTTCAGAATTCAGTAAAGTTCAAGAACGATTGGTTTTATCTTGATATTTTTGTATATCTCTTTGATGTAAAATTTTAGTTCATGAGGCCCCTGAATCGAAATGAGTTTGACACCCCTAGTCTAAACAAATCTTGTCTAGTTGTCATATTACACCATGTTACAGTTATATAAACCAACCGTGTCTATAATACCTGTATGTTATAGTATAAACTCACCTTCTCTGGTTGTTGAACACTAGTCATACTAGACCATGTTATAATACCTGCATTTTATAGTATTAACTCACCTTCTCTGGTTGTTGAACACTAGTCATACTAGACCATGTTATAATACCTCTATGTTATAGTATTAACTTACCTTCTCTGGTTGTTGAACACTAGTCATACTAGACCATGTGATAATACCTGTATTTTATAGTATTAACTCAACTTCTCTGGTTGTTGAACACTAGTCATACTAGACCATGTTATAATACCTGTATTTTATAGTATTAACTCACCTTTTCTGGTTGTTGAACACTAGTCATACTAGACCATGTTATAATACCTGAATGTTATAGTATTAACTCACCTTCTCTGGTTGTTGAACACTAGTCATGCTAGACCACGTTATAATACCTCTATGTGCTTGTTGTAGTTCTAATAAAGAGGCTAGAAACTGCCAATCACATAATAATAACTGAGCTTGTAACAGGTGATGCATTATTTCACATTCTAATCTAAAATATATCAAAGTCATTCATTAAGTAAGATTAGATATAGAGAGATAAATGGGGTTTAACGTCCACTCGACTGGCGTGGTTTCGATTCCCCGGTCGTACGTGACAAGGAGTAGGGTCGCCTGTCCAACCTCGTGGGTTTTCTCCGGGTCCTCCGGTTTCCTCTCACTGCTAAAGACCCCTACGCGCAAGCGAATTATTGAAAAAAAATTAAAACCATATGTTATTCCCGAAATGAATCTTCGTGTCGAGCGGACGTTAAACCCCATTTCTCTCGCTCTCTCTCTGTCCAAACTAACTAAAACAATTTATCTTACAACAACATGTCAGATCCCCTTATTTCCGTATGCAGGACAGAGGGCCTGACAAGGACAGCTGTCTAGTCCTTCGGATGAGACGGGAAAACTGAGGTCCCGTCTATACATTGGAATACAAGTAAAAGATCATTTGGCGATAGTGCCGCTGCCCGGGCAAAATTTCCCTTATAGCACACTGTATGGCGTATGCCCGTCTTCATTAGCCCAGCATAGAAGTAGAACAGTAGGACGTTAAACCCTATTTCATTTCATTTCCTTATTTCAGTGAGAAGGTCAAGGGTTAAAGTGAAGGTCCGGGGTAAAAACGTAGGTCAGGGGTTAAATACTTATGTAAAAGTTGATCGGATTGGTGAAAGTAAAGGTCAGAGGTTAAACTTACGTACAACTTGATTTGATTGGTGAAAGTGAAGGTCAGGGGGTTATACTAACGTAAAACTTGATTTGATTGGTTAAAGTGAAGGTCAGGGGTTAAACTTACGTAAAACTTAATTTGATTTGTTAACGTGAAGGTCAGAGGTTATACTTACGTAATTTGATTGGTTAAAGTGAAGGTCAGGGTTTAAACTTACGTAAAACTTGATTTGATTGGTGAAAGTAATGGATGATGAAATGTCTTATTGTTAGAGAAGATAATATCAGACAGCTTAGCAACAAGATCTTCAAAATAACCATGGCGACTCACACTCTCATATCTAACTTAAGTTAAAGATTTTTTAACTATTTTTAAAAACATAAAAAAAACAAATGTGCATCACTTTCTAATATTGAATTTTATGAAAGCACATTTCATCAATATGTCATAGCATTCTCCATAGTTCTCTACTCCTCACAATTTTTCCTTTGATTTATTCCATTCTACACTGCTGGACCAAACCATAGGCCATTCTACACTGCTGGACCAAGTCAAAGGTCTTTCTACACTGCTTGACCAAACCATAGGTCATTCTACACAGCTGGACCAAGTCATAGGTCTTTCTACACTGCTGAACCAAGCCATGGGTCTTTCTACATTGCTGGGCCAAGTCATAGGTCTTTCTACACTGCTGGACCAAGTCATAGGTCTTTCTACAGTGCTGGACTAAGTAATAGGTCATTCTACAGTGTTGAACCAAGCCATAGGTCATTCTACACTGCTGGACCAAGCCATAGGTCATTCTACACTGCTGGACCAAGCCATAGGTCATTCTAGATTGATGGACCAACCATCGTTCTTTTTCTAGCTGCATTTACCTCTCTAGGACGATGCATTGGTACTTTAAAAGAAATGGGGTTTAACATCCACTTGACACAAACTAGGTCATTTCAGGACTAGAAATTCTATTTCAATAATTTGCTTGTGCGTAGGGTTCTTTAGCAGTGGGAGGAAACCAGAGGTCCCAGACAAAACCCACGAGGTTGGACGGGCTACCCTACTCCTTGTCACATACAAGCGGGGATTCGAAAGTACGCCAGTTGACTCAATGACAGGAATTGTAATCCAAAGCACAAGCGTCAACCATTCGGCCACCTAACCCCCCCACCCCACCCCCGAAAATGCAAATGGTGCATTATTGATACTTCAAGAAAGGATACAGATCGGCCATGTTTTGTCTTGCGGCTATATACTGACAGAGTTGACCAGATATATGTGACAGTAATATCTCTATATCTGATGACTGGATACTGTTTACAATATTTGTACTATCCTGGTGACTAGCTTCCTCTAAGCGATGAAACTCTTGGGTCAAAAAATGATACAATGTTCGCAGATTCTGAAGAAAAAGAAAACCTAATGCAATTGACAATGTACGATGTACGATGGAAAGGGTAATAAGATCCAACTATTCGCTGACAATCTACTTCTTTCCAATCTGGTTAAAACACAAATCCTATTTCGTTCCGTTTTTTATAGTTCAAAATTTCAATTTACTTTTCTTTATTACACTAGGATCTGGAGGCGCTCTGGTTGAAGTGAGAGATTAGCCAATGAAACGGTCTGTTACGTCGATTTCTTGGCCTGCTCTGCTGACGTCGTAGGGTCAAAAGCCGCTTGTATGACCTCTGACACAAACTCCCAGGATCTTTTAAGTGCACGCCAAAGTGTACACAGGACCATTGTTTTCCACCCCACCCCACCCCATCATGCCCTCCGTCCTACATCACAGTCATCGTTATCATTAGATCCTTTATACTATGTTACACAGTGGAAAGGCAACTTACTTCTTTAGGTCTAACTATAGGAGTAAATCGTATGGTGGATGTCTTTTGTCCGAGAGATGAAAGTGACATGTAGACTTTCTCAGCTATAGTGAACTGTGACAGACATTGTAATACTGTACCCCATGACGTACTTCCAGATATTTTATGCATCTCTTTTTCTTTGTCCTGAAATAAAACACCATAAATTTAAGGGGAGAGAGGTTTTTAATGTCCACTCAACACAAACTAGGTCATATTGGGACTAACATATGGTTCAATTTTATTTCAATAATTCGCTTGCATTTAGTGGTCTTTAGCAGTCAAAGGAAACCGAAGGACCCGGAGAAAACCCAAGAGGCTGGATAGGCAACTCTACTCCTTGTCACATACAACCAGGGAATCAAACCCACGCAATGACAGACCTTATGATACAGCGTGCACATGCTAACCATTCAGCCATCCAACCCCCCCAATATTTAAAGGGGAATTAGGTTATAGATTAGATAAAGAGCTGGGCATTACATAAGATTAGACACAGAGCTGACAGTTCTTGCTATAATAGATAATGAAAACAGAATATGCTGAAAATTTCAGTCAAATTGCTTCACTCTAAGCCAAGATATTAGCGGTTCAATTTTAGGCTAGCCTCGATCAATATTACTAACGTTGGTATTATAAAAAAAGTTTCGATTATCCATTTGTATGTTAAATAATCCAATCAGAGATGTGATTTCACCCGTATATTCCAGACATGTCCAACACTATTTTTCAATCCACTAATTATCACAGGCTAACGATGGCACCAAGAGTTGATTATGGTCTTGATAAGTGAATAAATGTCTACTTAATAATCTATATAACATTTCAGACATAAAGAAAGACCTGTGAGGCACTATGGTCTACTCTTAAAAAAAATTCCAACTGACAAGGGATCTTTTACATCCACATCAATGTTTACACAGAACCTCGGTTTACCATCCCATCCGAACGACTAGACAGTATGTTTCATGGGGTTTAACATTCACTCGACACAAATTAAGTTATTTCGGGACTAACATATGATTCAATTTTATTTCAATAATTCACGTACAACCGGGGAATCGAAACCATACCAGTTGACTCAATGACAGACCTTATGATACAACGTGCACTTGCTAGCAATTCGACCATCCAACTCCTCTCTTATCAAAAGGAATACTCCACACCCCCACCCTAATTAAATAAATTATTCACCATCAGATCTTTAGCCTTATCAAATGAGAACTGGCTGATCAATATAAAGAATGATTCCAGAACCGATTCCTCTCGGGTTTGGCGTCCAGGACTTGATGCAGAAGATGATGAGTTTGGAGTTGTAGCCATCTTTAATTCTTACTCAAAACACACAGATATCGGTACAGTTGCTAGGCAACCAAATATACTCCCACGATTAAAACATAACAGCTTCATTTAAAAACATAATCTGAAAACATAAAATATAGACACATTAGACTTCATGAATAGCACCATTACAACACTGTAGACAATAGATCGTTGGGAGAGAGAGAGATGGTTTTTAACCCATTAAGTTCGTAGGTCGTTATATAACATCCTGGACAACTGCCACTCACTGTGTGTGGGGCGTAATATAACGCCTTGGAGGTATTTTCCCCAACCTATTCTTAGAACATAGTTCGTCACTTGGGGGAATTCCCCCACGATCGCAGCATGTGTAGGACGTTATATTACGTCCTGGACAACTGCCACTTACTGTGTGTAGGGCGTAATATAACGCCTTTGAGGTATTTTCACCAACCTATTCTTAGAACATAGTACATAGTTATTTGTCACTTCGTCAAATTAATTACACAATAGGGGGTAGTTAACGTTTTAAAAACGTCACGCTTAACAGGTTAATGTCCACTCGACACAAACTAGGTAAATCTCAGGACTGACATATAGTTCATTTTTTTTATTACAATAATTCGCTTTCATGGTCTTTAGCTGTGAGAGGACCCATAGAAAAACATGAGGTTGGAAAGGGTATAAATGGTTAGGAAGAGCACATTAAGAATCAAATGAAGAGGTTGAAAAGCTGGATGAGTTGAACGACAATGTGAAACCATAAAATATAGACATATTAAAGGACCTAAGTCCGTAACTCAAAATCCTCCAAAATCTTCGACATCGAAAACACGAATTATTGGTCAATTTAAATCAACATTGATGATGTAAACTTACCGGGAAAAGATGAGCTTCTGATATCCGATATTTAAGATAAAATAATTTTTTTAACATTGGTACACGAATCGTGTACCATAATGCGCTTCAGCCCCAGTTGTATTGAGAGACTCGAGGAACGAAGCTAGACACATTGCACCAAATCAAATGGAGTTATGTAGACTAGAATAACTAGACGCTAGAAATTTGCACTCGATTGAGATCGCTGACTTATTTCGCCGAACATAACTGATTCGAAATTGGAGTAAAAACGGAAACCATTAAATGTAAATCAGTTTATATACATTCATATTACAGTATTATATGTGTTGCGACCCACTTTTGTGAATTTCTAGGTCCCAAATGTTAGCGATTTAGCTCCTTTAAATAAACTTCATGAGCAGATAGTTTGCACGAGTGTAGTTACTTTAGTAACATAAATTGCATCAGCTCTGCTCTCTACTACGTTACTGTCAGCTCCTAATGACAACTAGTATGAAAATAAGGCTTTTCCCCCATCTCGGTTCTAAGGCTATTTTGGAATCCCTACCGTCTATTTTCACTGTGATTCTTCTTTGGTCGCCAAAAGGAATCATTTCTTGTCACATCCAACACAAATTTATAAAAATCCAACACTATTTTCATGTAGAATTACGCGATACAAAAACATAAACAACTTTCATTTCAATTGGGCCGCCATGTTCAAACTAACGCTCAGCCAATATTCAAAATTTAGGAATGGAATTTTACCGTAAACGAAAATTCTCACTGTACTGAGAATAACACATAGAATATTTAAAATATTTTATAAAGGTCAATATAATGTGTTGTTTATTTTATAGATTTTATGTAATAATTATTCATGTATGTTGAATAAAAAAAACTTTAGTTTGGATTATTGGCTGGGCGTTAGTTTGAAAATGGCAGCCCAATTCAAATGAAAGTTGTTTATGTTTTTGTATCGCGTAATTCTACATGAAAATAGTGTTGGATTTTTATAAATTTGTGTTGGATGTGACAAGAAAAGATTCCTTTTGGCGACCAAAGAAGAATCACAGTGAAAATAGACGGTAGGGATTCCAAAATAGCCCTAGAACCGAGATGGGGAAAAGCCTTATTTTCATACTAGTTGTCATTAGGAGCTGACAGTAACGTAGTAGAGAGCAGAGCCGAAACAATTTACGTTACTAAAGTAACTAGCACGAGGGCATTCGTGTTTGATGTGACTCCAGTTTTTGTGTTATAGGTTTTAATCTTAAATACCTGAACCTAATCCTAACCCTAATAGAAAGTAGGAAGTTCCATGTAGACACAGTACGGACTACGGGCCTCGGCGCCTTAGTTTTTTGGTGTAAATGTGATGAAAATAGAAAAGGGAGTTGGATCAAACATGGTCGCCGCAGATAGTTTGGAAGAGTGCATTAAAAGCATCATGTGGGAACAGTGCCATAAAATGAAATAAAATGGGGTTTAATGTCCTACTGTTCTGCTCCGACAGGGCTAATGAAGACATCGATGATTCAATGACAATGGAATGATCAAATCTGATCATGATGATGCATGATCATGACTAAAAATTTCATTTCCCGTCATTCTACACACTCATGATTACCCGTTAACAAAAACCAACCTACAGGATGGAACAAATAAAAACCGAAACGTAACAATATAATACACAATGTAATATTTCGGATTTTTTTGTCACGTTTGACTTTTCTATAAATGAAAACACTACCTGTCTACTTTTACTTTAGTTCCTGGTCTTAGAGTTACTTCCCTTCAATTTCATATTTTGAGAGTTACTTCCCTTTAATTTTCTATTCGTACTTCATGATCCAGACTAAAAATTTCAAAAGGTGCAGGCGCCTTAACGATCAGTTAATAAATGCTCCTATAATTATGATAGGCCTACATTTTACCAAGGGTTTTAATTAATTTCAATGCAGAAGAGAGAGAGAGAGAGGGGGGGGGGGGAGAGGGGGCGTCCACTCGAAACAAACTAGGTCATTTTGGGACTAACATGGTAAAATTTTATTTTAATAATTTGCATGCGCATATATATAGGGGTCTTTAGCAGTCGGCGGACCCGGAGAAAACCCATGAGGTTGGTCAGGTGACCTTATGATACAACCCGCACGCGCTAACCATTCGGCCATCCAACCTCCCTCAGTTGGCCGGGAAAGTTCATAGGGATTTTCCGGTGTGGTTAGCCCTTGTCAGTGGTGTAGGACTGAGAGCCTGACAGGGACAGCTGTCTAGTCGTTCGGATGGTACGAAAAACTTGAGATCCCGTGTATACATTGGCATGCACATAAAAGATCCCTTGGTAGTTAGAATTCAATATAAGAGTATGTCATACTGCCACTGCCCGTGAAAAATTTCCCTCATAGCACACTGTATGCTGTATGGCCGTCTTCATTAGCCCACATGAAGCAAAACGGTAAGACGTTAAACCCCATTTCATTTTATTTCATATTATTTCATATTCTCAATAAATTTGTATTTGGCAAATCTTTCAGGAAATGTTCTGTCGTAGGTTTTCGTGTAACCTTTACTGAACCTTTCATAATCCAATAAACTTATCTACGCCTACATTTAATCGGAGCTACGTTTCTACAATGGTTCTCGTCGTTTTCAAGCACGGAAACACAAGGTAAACGGAAATGATAAAGTCTTTAACTCAGTATCTCCACAGTCTTCGACATTGCTAACACGACTTATTGGTCAATTTAAATCAACATTGGTGTTATCTTATCGTGAAAAGATGGGCTTTTGCTATCCAATATTTAAGACACAATGAAAATTTTAAACTTGGCACACGAATAAGGTGCCAGAATGCTTTATAGGGGCGCCATTTGTAATGAAGTGACTGGATGAAGGGGGCTAAACATATATTATCCTACAAGGCAGGACTACCACAGTAGACTGGAATAACCAGACACCAAAGACTGCCATTCAATAGCACTCTTTCACGTATTTCGCCGAACATAACTGATTAGAAATTACTGTAAAAACAGAAACGATTGAATGTAAATCAGTTTATAAACATTTGTATTACATTATCATATGTGTTGCGACCCATGTGTGTCCATTTCTATGTGCCAAAGAATAGAGATTTAGTTCCTTTAATGTAGCTTTAAGGTGCTAAAAAGGTTTTCCCAATAAAGGGGCATAACTCTGGAGATTATCGAAAAAATTAAGCACCAAATAACTTTTGCGAGCGTGCTTCTTTTGTGTTAGCTTGACGTATTTTAAGATTTCTTATGTTGGGGGGTGCCTAGCTCTAATACGTCGAAGCACACAGCGCTCTCACAATAATTGTTATTCAAGAAGCTTTAATCTATAAGAAACATAAGTACTAATTATTTGACGTCGATCTGGGTTTATTAACGAATGAACATGAATAACACAAATAAAGATATATGAAATCATAATTAAAACATCATTTACAAATTATCTAGTAATGAATAGTTGAATATATAAAGTAAGCATATATTATGTGATCAAGTGCAATTGTAAGCTATTTCACATTATCATATTATGCATAAAAGAAACATACATTTATCAATAGCAAATATAAAGTATTATCATATTATGTGAATAAGTATAGTAAACTATTACACATTATAATATTATGAATAATATAAACATATATACTAAATGAATTATTAGGCGACACAATTATAAACTAACTCACCTATAAGAAACATAAGTACTAATTATTTGACGTCGATCTGGGTTTATTAACGAATGAACATAATTGTTCGTATTTCGTCTCTTATATTTATACCCAGTCGGTATCGCCAACTTAATATCTTAATAATAATTACACTAGAATACCATATAATACAAATGTGATATAAATTAACATATTTACATTACTGAGACGTAACTCGAATATAGGTACATACTAAATCAATGACTAGGATGCATGTTAAGTAATATTAAATTATTTTAAGATTGTTGTGTAGAAAAGGTAAATAGATAAGACAGTGCGTCCAGATTAGAACGATCAGGGTTCGGAGTAAAGATTAACTTATCCACTTTAAAGCAATTAATCAATTAAGATAAGTAAATACATGTATATCAAAATATGTACTATAACACTTTTATGAATGAATCAATACGACACTAGCAGATCAAAGACGTCAGTTTATATACATAATGTTTATAAGTTCATTAAAATTGCTAGCAATCAGGCAGAAGTCGTTAAGTAAGCATTGTCACTTTTTAAAGTGCCCCTGAACATGTTATATGAAAGGGTGCACTATAAATATGCTGTAATAATAATAATAATAATAATAAAAGTAGGTGTTATGTCACTAAGGTGTTAAAACTGTGACTAATGCATGAGACATCTTTTACAGCTAGTTACACACCTGCTAATTAATGACTACTGTATAGTTTCTAAGCTCTTTCTATACATTACTAAACATTAGTTTAGAATAATGATCACTTATGTCAGTTGGGCTAATAACAAAAATTGTCTTTACTTCCTAAGAGGCCTAGATTCATAAGTCAACGGTATCACATTACCAGTGAATACATCACTAAAGGTTTTTATTATCATCAGGTCTTTCTGAAATATTTATGAGTTTATCTTATTCAGAAGGGGCCATTCTGATTTTCAGTGACTTCACTATTAGCTGAACCCATTGTTACGATATGTGTCTCCTTCATGTCGATCTTTCATAATCACCGTCAGAGTTGTGCCCCCTTTTCCCGAAATCTTGCCAGAACTTTACATAATAGGCCATTATTATTGTCTTATGGCAGAGGTGAGATTTGGACTATGTGATGACTTGGAACTCACTACCGCACTTAGGTCAACTGGGTACAAAGTTTAGCGGCTTGAGACTCATCTTGGCACCGTACTAACGTCAATGACTTGGGACTCGACTCAGACTGTAGAGGTGCGGTGACTTTGGGACTCTGCTCGGACTCAAGGTCTCGTGACGTTTCCTACCTCTCTCTGTCCTATAGTTGTCTATTCTATTGAATGTGTGGAATACGCCAATACAGCTGAGCAGCTTAAAGATACATTATGGGAGATTCGATAACGAGTTGACAGTTCTCACTATAATAGTTAAAAACTAGATAATATAAAGGCAATTTGCTGAAAATTTCATTCAAATTGATCCACTATGAACCCAGAACTAAG